GCATTTCAATTGAAATTTCTTCATACACTTGAGACTTTTTAAAAAAATCTTCACCCAAGGATATTTTCCACTGATTTTTTTTTTTTTTTTTAAGAGAGAGTGGAAGGGAGGGAGGGGGAGAGAGAGGAGAGAGAGAAACATCAACGTAGAGAGACACATCTATTGGTTGCCTCCCCCATGTACCCCAACCGGGGCTGGGGATCGGACCTGCAACCCAGGTACGTGCCCTTGACTAGGAATCCAACTAGCGACCCTCAGATGCGTAGGCAGATGCTCTAACCACTGAGCAACACTGGCCAGGGCCATTTGAGGCTTTTATAGAAAACTTTCAAAGGCTGTTTGAAACCCAGTTTCAAGCAAAGTTTTCTAGGAATGAATTCATATCAGGGTTCTTTAGTTTTTGCTATAAAATACCATTTTGTCACTTCATGTCAGGAATTAAGCTGACAGAAGCCTTTCTTTTCAACCATTCAGTAATATAGACTGCACCTCAGTGATTTCAGTCTGGAACAATTGCTCTTCAGTTATTGTAAAAAAACATTTTTGGTATTTTAAAAAGTCCTACATTAATTTTTCCCAGATGTAATTACTCGCATCACCTGGGAGGCTGTTTAAAACGTCAGCCTGATTCAGGAGATCTTGGACCTTGGAATCAATATTATAGAAACTCCTCAAATGGTTTCACTGGCCAGATTTGTAAAACTGCTGTTAAGTGCCTTTTAAATGTGTTATATATGGATTACTTTATGGAAAAATGCGCACAATCCAATCGATTGAGTTTATCCCTAGCAAAAAGTGTGTTCTGATGAATTCACATGCTTCCTTTTTTTTTTTTTTTTTTTTAAGTAAAATGACAACTAAGTCATCTCTCCTTTTTTCCTTGGTGCTGGGACATTCAGAAGTAAGTTCCACTTATACTTAAGGCAGGAGCTTTTCGAAGCCTGGGATTTCTGTTTTTTTTCCCATCCTAATTAACTTATACTTGCTCCCTAATGTCAGTTTAAGGACTTTATTATACTTAAGTTTTTTGCTTTTATTGTTATCTATTTCAGGTTTTTTTAAAAATAAATAATAAACAAGATTTAGAGCAAGAGTAGAGAGCACTTATTCAAAAGGTTTGGAGGGGCCTGGCTGGGTAGCTCAGTTGGTTAGAGCATCATCCCAATGTGCCACGGTTGTGGGTCCAACCCCCAGTCAGGGCACATACAAGAATCAACCAATGAATGCATAAATAAGTGGGACTACAAATCCATGTTTCTCTCACTTAAAAAAAAAAGAGAAAGGTTTGGAGGCTGAAATTATTGCATTTTTTTGTCATTTGGCTAAGCTTCTCTAACAGAGGCTTGGCATATTGGCCTGGCATTATGCCTGCAGAATTATGTTATGATTGTGATAATGAAGAAGCATTTGTAGACTTTAAGGTTTTATCAGAATACATAAGTGCAGATTCTTATAATGGTGTATATTATTTCTTATAAAAATATGGGTAAAGCCTGACAACTAAAAATGTTTCCAAGCTTTATTGTATACTTGCATTGTAAATGTACATAATTGACGTATTCTTATTCTAAGAAGGGTTTAATGAGTGCTCTAAAGGTTAATAGAATTTAGCAAGATAAAATAAATCAGAAAGATGAAGGGTCTGGTTGGCACAAAAAAGCTAGAGATGGGCCAAAATTTTAACTGTCTAGCAGCCTACATGAAAAGGAAAAGTCTCATGCTCAGATGAGGGAGAAAAACTCATGATAATAAACCTAGAAGGATTTCGGTTCTCCATAGGATCTCCTGGAGAAAGTACTTTATAGTAGATGATCTTCTCTCTTGATTGGTGTAGTTACCATTATGTGATGCTAGTGAATTATAATGCATTAAGATTTTTTTGTTGTTAATTGTCACCCGACAATATTTTTTCCATTAATTTTTCTTAGAGAGATTGGAGGGGAGGAAAGAAGAGGAAGAGAGAGAGAAAAAACAAAAAACATCGATGCGAGAGATACATCGAGTAGTTGCCTCCTGCATGCTCTGGGGCCTGGGTCATGCCTTTGCCCAGGGTGCATGCCTTTGATCAGAAATCGAACCTGAGACCCTCAGTCTGAAGGCCGATGCTCTAACCACTGAGCCAAACCAGTCAGGGCAATGCAGTAAGATTTTTACATGAACTGGATAAGTTTAAGGAATTTTCAAGCCCATTAAAAAAAGAGGTCCCCATTTTCTCTCCCTGTTAGCCAATAGAACAGGTGCTGTGGGATGGAAGAAATCTCATTTGGTGAGACAAAGTCAAAGCAAATATATTTTTTACTAATTTTTTCTTGTTATTAACATTATTGAGGTGACATTGGTTAATAACGTTATGTAAATTGCAGATGTACAACCTAATAATTCGATATCTATGTAACACAATATTGTGTGCTCACCACCCAAAGTCTGCTTTCTTTCTGTTACCATGCATTTGATCCCTTGACCCAATTTGCCCTCCCGCCACCACCTTCCCCTTTGTGTCTCCTTTTCCTTCACCAGGTAGGGAAGCTTTCAGCTGTTATTTCCTCAAACAGATTCTCGATCCCTTGCTCTCTTCCTTCTGGTACCCATATAATGCAGATGTTGTTATGCTAGATGTTGGCACAGAGGTCCCTTAGACTTTTTCATTTTTTTAAAAAACTTCCTTTTCCTTTTCGTTGCTCTGCTTGGGTGTTTTCTATTATCTTGTCCTCTAAATTGCTGATCCAGTCCTTCGCTTCATCTAACCTACTGTTGGTTCCTTCGAGTATATTCTTCATTTAACGTATTCATTTCTGACTGGTTCTTTTTTATGGTTTCTATGTTCTTTTTAATGCTTACTATCTCTTTAAGTTCTCCCTGGGGTCGCCCGTTCTTCCCCTAAGGTCCTTCAGCACCCTTATAACCATTGTTTTAAACTATGCATCTGCCCGGCCGGGCGTGGCTCAGCAGTTGAGTGTTGACCCAGGATCCAGGTGATCAGGGTTCGACTCCTGGTCAGGGCACATGCCCGGGTTGGGGGCTTGATCCCAGTCGAGGGCATTCAGGAGGCAGCCGATCAATGACTCTGTCGTCATTGATGTTTCTATCTCCCTCTCTCCCTCTCCTTTCCTCTCTCTGAAATCAATAAAGACATATTTTTTTAAAAAAACACACCTATGCATCTGGTATCTTGGTTGCTTCCATATAATTTCATTCTTTTTCTGGGGATTCCTCTTGTCCTTTCATTTGGGGCATATTTCTTTGTTTCCCCATTTTGTCTCTGTGTATTAGGTAGATCTGCTAGGACCCCCAAACTTGTTAGGATGGCTTTCTGATGTGGGTGTCTCGTGGGACTCAGTGGCACAGTATTCCTGATCACCTGAGCTAGGTTCTCCAGGAATGTCTCTTGTGTGGGTTATGCGTGCTCTCCTGTTGTAGTTGAGTCTTGAGTGCTGTTGGCTTGTTTGTGGGTGGAGTTAACTGTCAGGCTGACTGACTATAAGGATAGACCTCGATCACCACATGAGTCGCTCTACAGGGCTTGCCTCCCGAGGCAGAGTTGTGCCCACTGGAATCCCCCTTTGGGTGTGCCACAAGTCTGAAACCCACCACTGGTTGTGTTGGTTCTGGGTCAACTTTGCAGGGTTCCGATGTCAGACATTGTGTGTAACTGGCCTTGGGCTACCTGCCTGGAGCTACCATGGCTGTGTCTACTAGGCCTGAATGTGTGTGGGAGGGGCCTGAATGTATACAAGGATTAGCTTCCTCCAGCTCTGATGTGGAGGCAGATCAATAAAAGGTTCAAGGCTCCCTGAGGTCCACCTCCACTTGTAAGCTACTCTGCCACCCCCTGAGGTTGCCTGGTCTTCCTCTAGAGCCTACTGAAGAAAAACGGTAGAGTGGACCTAGTCTAGACATGACTCACAGACCCTAACACAATGCACGAGCTCAGTACAGTTGGGTGACTGGCATCGGGAAGACGGGTCTAATGGGACTCCTGCTTGGGGGCAGCTCGATTAGGCACTCAATGGGGGAAAAGTGGCGCCTACTCCAGAGCCATATGACTCAGTCTCTGCCAAAGCCTCCAACCCTAGCTCCCCCAGTAGGAGCGCACCACAAGTTCAGGTCGGGTGCAGCCAGCCAGCTCCTCTGCAGGAGCAAGCTTAGTTGGGTAGAGCCACCAGGACTCAGGAGGATAGATCAAAAGTATCGCCCATTGGGGGTGGTGCCGGTTGAACCTACTAGAGGGGGGCAAGACTGGCCGCCGTTTTAAAGCCACACAGCTCAATGACTATCTGAATGTCCACCTACCGCTTCTGTAGGAAAAGAGCACACCAAAGGTCCTTGTTATACGTAGCCAACAGATCTTTCTGCAGGACTTGAACTTGGCAGGGTGGTGTAGCCTGGGTTAGTGCACTCCCCAAGCTGGTGTAGTAAGCATAGGAGTACTCAACCCTGGGAAGATGGTACCTGAGGGTGGAATGGGATAGGTACTCAGCACAGTGATTTGCTAGCACTTTACAGTTCATAAAGAATGATAGTGGCGACAACCCAAAGGCTAGTGTAGCACAGGGACCTCCACAACCTGCTGACTGATGCCTTCTCTAAGGTCTCCAGGGGCTGCTTTCTGAATCCCCTTAAAAAAAAGAAACCAAACCTTAACTCAGCAGTGTTGAATCAACTGCTCACTGTACCTAACCTGCCCCTGGTGTGATCTACAGCAGGAAGGACTGTAAAGTGCTAGCAAATCACAAAGCCCCATTTGGGCCTTAGCTTCTGATGTAGCTGGGGCAGACAGGTGAGAAAACGGAGGAAGCCGGGTGCCCTGCCCCAAATCCAAGACCTCACTAGGAGAACTGTGTTCTGCGTCAGGCCTGTTCCTGGAACCTACTTACCACAAAACTGCCCCAGAGGAAACCCTTTGAGCCAGAAAATAAGTTGAGCTCCAGGTTGTAAAGAGTTTTCAGTGCCATGCCAAGGCCTTTGACCACTCTTTCTTTCCTATTTCCACCGTCTTGCAGACCAGATGACGTGCTCCTGCATCGCACACATGATGAGATTGTCCTCCTGCACTGCTTCCTCTGGCCCCTGGTGACATTTGTGGTGGGTGTTCTCATTGTGGTCCTGACCATCTGTGCCAAGAGCCTGGCTGTCAAGGCAGAAGCCATGAAGAAGCGCAAGTTCTCTTAGAGGGGCGTAGACATGTGGAAAGCAAAGCACAGAAGCTGCACCTACGTGCACACATCTACCTGTGGAGCCTGTTTCCGGCACAGGAGATGGAAGGGGCTCTGCGAGGTCTCTGAGAGGCTCCTCCCTCGATGGCAGCAACAGGCACAGCTGGAAGGCTTGGAGCCTCATGGACGGGATTGTGTGTCGTAGCATTGGCTAAAGGGTCAAGCTCTTAGCTGTATGGAGTAAATTTCAGAAAATCCGATAAAATGTTAATTTTTTTTGGAAAGTAACAGTGTATAATTGTACAGTGTAGTATACAAATCATTATGATTTATGGTATTTAAAAATATTAAAAGAGCGTGGTCTGTGTTTTTTTCTATTTTCTTTTTTATCCTTAAAACACCAGGGTTCAAAAAAAAGGCCTTCTGGGTTTCATTTGATTCTGCTAGACTAAACTTTGACTTGGAGATGAGGATTCCTGCACAGGTCTTGACCTCACTATATAATCCCCAGTTTCCATTATTAAAGAGCACCTTTGGACTCCTGCTTGAGGAAGGAATACTGCGCTGTTAACTCAGTCTCCAGTCGCTTCCGTGACTCTTCAACCAGGGACGCTCAAAGGCTGGGAAAACATAGCCTCCAACACTCGCCTTTACCTACCCATTATTTTCACCAAATTATTTCTTAAGAGAAGAACATGATTCTGAATAAGGCCTGTCCTAGCTCTAAGAGCACTGCACTCCTCTATTCATCTGCTCATGTTTATTTTGGATGGATATTGTCCTCGTGCAATAGAATGTACACGATGTGAAGGACACCTTTCAGCTTAGGCAAATGCTGTTTTCATTTCTTTTTTTAACTCGAAAGGTATTCAAGATCTGTTCAAACATTTTGTTTTGATTTCCTTTGTCCTTGCCTTGATGTTACCAGCATTCAAACAAGAATATTGCTGGTGTTGTTCAGTTTGCTTGAACAAACCTGCAGATGCAACTCAGCTCAACATCATACTGAGCTTCCTGTGCCTTTATCAAAAGTTCACGGAGGAGACTAGACCGCTTCGTGTCTGTTCATAAGTTCCAATTCCAAATATCACAGGTCTCAATGACTATCAAACCTACCCTATTTATTTACCAGGTAAAATCAAACCTTTATTTAGATGAAATTAATAATACATTTTTGGTGGAGAACTGACAACATAATTTCTTTTTGCTTTCTTCTTACACTCTTCAGACATGCTTCTAGTAGAATAAAGGCAAATAAAAATTTAAGGACAAGGTCCCCTCAGCTATTTCCTCAGGGTCCTAAGAAAGGTGCATACTAGTGGAAGAAGCCTTTCCTGACTTTTAGTCGACATACCACAGTTTTCTTAATTTTAGAATGTGGGTGATTGAGAGAGCCATAGTCTTTGGTAGGTGGGTGCTGGATGAACATGATGATTTTTTTTCTAATTCAAGTGTTACAGGTTGCACTGTGAAAAAGCCCTTGAACGTACTTTTTGTGACATCCTTTGAGGCAGCTCCACTGCCTTGACTTCAATCCCAGTTTTCCGTGGCAGCATCCCTGTTGTCTGAGCAACACAGCGAACCATTCTGAAGCAGAGTCCCCCAAAAAGGGGAATCAGAAAATCATCATCTTTGCATCACTTTGTGGGAGATGAAGTCTACTTTATTCATGTTATCTTAATCCAATAATCTATGATTAATTGATTACAGAGAGTAGACAAAAATAGCACAAGGACATAAGTGTAGGAAAAAGGGGAAATTGATATATAGTGATCTGAATTTTCATCTATCAGTTTGATACTCACATATATTTAGGCCCAAAGAATATACATGACTGTATTCTGTAGGCTGAGTTTTGGAAAAGAGGAGAAGCACACTGAATTCATGAGGTCACATGTAGTTTTAAGGTCTTACTTGTTTACAGCCAGTTAAATTTGAGTCTATTTATACTTGCCACTAAAGATGACACCTAAAGGAATAAGGAGAGGGTCATAAAATGTAAAGAAGCTTAACAACTTAGTATTTTAATTCTCCTTTTTGTATAAGTGAGAAAAGGGTCTAAGCCTCCAAAATACAATCACTTGTATAAGACTGAAGTTTATTTCTTCCTCTCATAACTATCCAGAGGTAGCTGAGAAGTGTACAGCATCTGTTTCACAAGGTAATCAAGGGACCCAGGATTCCTCCACCTGCTGTTCTCTCATTGCCAGGGGTCATGGTCAAAGCCCGTCCCAGGAAGCACAGCCACTGTGCAGCCTATAAAAAGAGAGGAAGTTGGGAGCAAGCTATTTTCTTTCAAGGAACTCTTAGCCATCATTTCATCACTTCTGCTTAGTCCATAACTACTTTCTACACAACTATACCTGGCTTCAAGGAAGGCTGAGATATGGCCAGCTCTGGATATGTGTCCTACTAAAACCCCAGGGGAAAGGTTCTATTTACTAAAAGGAGAAGTGGGGGAATGAATGCTAGACTAATCGAGAAGAATGGTGTACAGCCCAGAGCACGAGGAAATCTGAGCAGGGCTAGCGAAGGCCCCTTGCCATGGCAAGAAAGCGATAACCTGGTTAAATCTTGCATCTGCTGTCTGGGAGAAACTGTCTTGTCCACTGTCCCCTGTGGCCCCTGCTTTGACTTCTAGGAAATGCTTGGTCCTCGGACTCACAGCCACGTTGGAATCTGGTGTGTCACAGCTGCTGCAGGCTCCTGCCTGCTGCTGCAGATTCGTAAACCTAGATTTCCTTAGAAATTGAACAAACATAGGTGTTTATAGGCCAGGACTATGGTTCACTTGGCTGTGATAAAGAGGCCAATGCCATTTTTGGTGTTTGCTGACAGCTTTCAAGCCTCTTCATTTCCTTTTCTCCCTAATATCATCTGGGAAAGCTGGTTAGAAAGCCTGAGTGCCTCCATCTTCGGCCCAGGTGAGAAGTTCCAATCACACAAGCTCTGGCCTGTGCGCAGGAGCCCTCCCCCCAGCCTCACACTCTAAGAACAATAAAAGCCAAGCCAGTCAAGTCATTTTTGAATCTACCTGGGGACTTGCCCAGCTCGCTCCAAAAAGTCTCATTATGTGAATAATAAAGTTTTTCATATCCTCTCGGTGAGTGTGTGTGGTTATTAGTCTCAACATCCAAACCAAATTTTGGGTTAAGGAGTCCATCTGCGGGGTGTCCACAATGTTGGTGATAAAATTTCATCCGAATCCTAGTACGTTTCTGCTTTATTTGCTTTCAGTTAGCTCATGTGAAAGTAACCACAGCCAAAGGGCTGTGCTTATAGTTCTTAAGCCTGTGCTTGGCTCATACCCCATCCTTCAATTTAATGGCAGCCACTCGGAAGCCTTCTGGAACAATAAGGTTAAGTGGGAATGCAACACCCTTTATCTTATCTTTTCTGCTGAGCTGACTCCCGTAGTCTCACCAGCAATACTTAATAGAGACTCTTGAGAAAGACTCTAAATACTAATCTGCTGTTTGGAGGACTGGAGCAGTCGAGCTGCAGGACACAGGCACAGCTCCTGTCACAGCCGTGTTACCCACCTGTAAACTAGCTGTCTCGCCGCAACTATTTTTCATAGCAATTTACTGAAAAACACCAAAGAGCAGCCAATGCACGTTATCTCTGTTTTTTCCTACCCACTTTCCCCAGTGCTACAGATCGGCCCTCTAAGTAGTGGCTAGTGACAGTTTTACCTAATGGTTAGTCAAAGCATAGCAAGGGTCTCTTGTTTTCCATCCCGAGAGAGGTTTCCTCACTGCTGGCTCCTGGCCACCATGCCAAAGCCACATAGTTTAGATTTGTGCTATCACAGGGATATCCTTTGCATTGTCTTTCTTTGAATGGGCCCAGCCGGTGGCTCCCAGATCTGTGGTCTGTCCTCACCTGTTCCACGCTCTGGATGTTTCCTGCAATAGCTCTGATGCTCTTAGGTCTCTGTCTCAAGATTAGTGACGGGCAGACAATGCGCTGACAAGATAAATAATGGGACAAAATATTATCTTACAACATGGATGGGGAACCATTTCCTGGCTCAAGTAGTTTGTTCTCCTGAAAAATTATTGACATATATCAAACTACTTGACAACCTTTTGCTAACGCCTCAACACTCCCCTCGAGTGCCCTGCAGAGCAGTCACTCAGGGGCAGGGGCATGTGTGGTCCTGTCCACGCCTGGGCCTCTCTTCTCACCACGTACACACATCTGTTTTCTTCTCAACCATTAGGTCTGAGCTTAAATTCTCAGAAGCCTTCCTAAACCAGCCAACCTACATAGATTTCTCCTGTCATTTTCTTCCTTACCCTGCTTTCTTCCATTATAGCACCTATTGCTGCTTATATTTATATACTCATTTGTTTACTTGTCCATAAATACATCTATTTATCTCTCTTTTTAGATGATAAGATCTATGAAGGTAGAACAGTGTTGGTGAAACTTTTTTCACCACTGGCCCAGTGCCTGACCCACTAAGGTGCTAAATATTTATTGAATGAATAAATGAATGAATGAGTGCTCCCAGATCCATTATTCCTCTGTATGTGTTGCTTCCTATATCCTTCCCTCACTTGGGAAATTTTACCTTACTTTAGGGCCCAACCTCCTCCCTCCATCCTACCAGCAAAATTAATCACTTCTTCTGTGATCCCAAAGCAATTCGTACATACCTCTATTATTTGAAGAATTTAGTATGCATTGTAAGATTTTATCATTTGTTTTATGGTTGTTAATCCACTGATTCTTTCTTACCTCCCCACCTTATGAGACAAGAAACATCTTATTGATCTTTTGTACATAATGACAAAAAATATAGTAACTCCCAACTAACACTTATTTAGTGCTTTCTGTGTGCATCTAACCCTTTATCATATATCCAGGGCATAGTTGACCTTGGAAAACTTTAAATTGATGAATAAACAAATACATATTGCAATTTTGACCTTAAAATGAAAATTTATAATAAAGATAGGCTAATGTTTTTGTATTCAAATATCATATGCTACTCTTTAAACAAGTGAACAGTAGAAAAGTCACTGTATTTGTTACTAAATTACTCCAAAATTTAGTAACTTAAGACAGAAAACATGTATTGTCTCATACAATTTCTGCAAGTCAGGAATCAAGAAGTGGCTTAGCTGCAATTCTAAATTATTCTTGATGAATTGTTGCCTCTAAGATAAATGCATGAGTTAGGGTTACAGTGGAATAAACATAAGAAGCAGGAGTCCAGCAGAATTACAATGGGAAACTTTTGATAACACAATTGTTCACTTGATAGGCATCTTAGAACAAAAAGTGAGCAAAGCCAATTGTCTGCAGCTTTTGATTGGCATGAAGAGTCTTCCAAAAGAAGTCTCTGGAGACTTCAGGAATAGGCTTTACAGCAACTTTAGATAACTTTCAAGAGTAGA